GGGTATGAGGTTGGTGTGTGTGTGCGCGCGCGCGCGTGTGCGTGAGCTCATATGTGTGTGTGTGCGTGAGCTCATGTGTGTGTGTGTGTGTGTGTGCGTGAGCTCATGTTTTCTTTACGCAACATTGGCTACTTTTCCACTTGCCTGCTAAGCGTTTCACTGGCCTCGCCAGGCGGCCCAATCACAGGACTGCGGTCTGTGCAGATTTCTGTGGAAAGTGGTCTCTTCAGCAGGCGAGGTGCTTCCCCTCTGCCTGAGAAGGGCCTTCCTTTTCCATCCGCACAGAGCAAGAGAGCGGAAGAAGCTGGAGTTTCTCTCTACTGTTTCACCTGGTGGCCCTGAAAATTGCAGCCCACTTGGTAAATACTTTTCTTGGCCCCAGAAGCAAAGGGAAGTTTTATCAAGAAGCTGTTCTTAATTTCCTATGTGTTGAAAAATTACCCCAAACAGGAGGCGGCTCTGGGTCATGGCCATTGTGTAAATTCCATTTGATCACTGAGCAGAGGCTACCAGAGCTCTCAGACAGAGTGACAAACATTCTTAGGGGACAAAGCATTTACAGGTTTTCCTATCACTCTATTGCCCAGCATTCTCTGTTATCTGTAGCCCCCAAGGGGATTGAGAGGGCCTGGTTACAGGGATTCCCCTGGCCTTGGGAAAGGTCTGAACATCTTTTGAAAGGTGACTGTGAAGACATCCAAAGAGCTGGTGAATTTCTGGCTTCCCTGTTAGGTCTGCCCGTCCCAAGATAATCTTGCTTAGAGATTTTTGGGCACTGAAGGTCAAAAAAAAAAAAGAAGAAGTGTAGGCAGGAATTTTGTCCCTGCCAGGAATGGCCAGTTGAAATGAGTTTCTGTGGACACCGGACACCATATCTAAAGACAGTTTTTTGGATGGAAGCCTTTGGCAACCCTTTTCATTTGCATTCGGAGGAAACTTGCCACATTTTCCATAACAGGCAGCCCAGCCAACACCACCCGGGAGGGAGGAAGTTCTTTCTCTCGGCGTCTGCAGGTTTATCCCTAAATGCTACGGAAACAGCAGCTGCCAGGGCAAGGGGAACAGAGCATGGAGAGCCTTTTAAAATTCTTGAATAAGTCGGATCTCACCAGCAGGACCTAAAAAGGCAAAGGCTTGACATTCTGGCGCTTGCTGCAGATGCGGCCTGTGCCCGGGGGCAGAGTGAGTCCAGGGACTTAGCAAACTCTATGGCCACCTGCTATTCGGTCAGGTCAGCCACTTGGGGTCCAGGCCTGGCGAGTGACAACGAGGAGGTCACATTTCACACAGCCTTGTGGCTGACAGAGGGTGCGAGTGCAGCCGGCTGTTTTGTGACCTTCACCACACTGTTAATTATACCCCTGTTCACAGATACTAAAAACTGCTTAAAAAAAAAAAAAGTCTTGAATTTGTTACAATGTTGCTTCTGTTTTATGTTTGGTGTTTTGGCCTCAAGGCATCTGGGATCTTAGCTCCTCCACCAGGCATCAAACCCACCTCTCCCCAACCCCCACGGCCCGCCACCCCCGCCCCCGGTATTGAAAGGAGGAGTCTTAACCACTGGGCCACCAGGAAGGTCGTGGCTTTTGTTTCAGATGGACATTCTTCACGTGCCACTGCTTACCTGCTTATGCAGGCAAGAAGGAAGATAATCTGGCAGGTCAGTCATCTGGCCATGTTCTTCTGGGTGGGTTATACAGAAAGGTTTCTTTCCTCATCAGACTGATTACTGGCTACCCTATAAAAGTGGGGAGCTGGTGGAAAAAAAGAATGGGAACTAGGGAATGATCTCAAAGCCAAATTAACGGAAGAGCTGCCACAGATTTTCCAGGGCTGAGGGGGAACATCAGACTTCCTCAGAAGTTCACTGCAAAATGTCCACCCAGCTATTAAGAAAACAGGACGGACTGACTGTGCCCAGGACAGACGGCCGCTGGCAGTCACATGAAGCAGGCTGAGATTGGAACCGTGAGGCGGAGGAGGGCAAGTCAATGGGATAGGAATTCGGAGTACAAGGAGGCTTCCAAATCAGAAGCAGGATGCTTTATACCTATTCACAGAGGGTTTCCCCACCCCTGGATGTGCCAGGACCTTGCCCATGAGCATCACAGTCTGATTCTGTGCCCTGTTTCCTCAGGCCATCACGAGAGGGGTGCATCTTCACCAGGGAGAAGGGCAGATGCTGAGAGGGGAGCCCAGGCTTCTTGGGCGTGCTAATTTTTTTACTATAGTCCATTCTGTTTTCTGTCAACAGTAAGGAAATACATCCTAGCAAGTGACATCCAGTAATGCTTTAATTAACTGTAATATTTTATGCTCCAATAATGCACCAAGAAATCACTTCCAGATGGGGAAAAGGAATGATATTTAGACAAAAAGGCAATCCCTTTACTTTCAGCAGACTGGTATCTCCCAAAGGTACAGAACAGAACCTTGAGGGCCCGGGGAAGGGGGTGGTGGCTTATCTATTTTGATACATATTGGAATTTGAGACTGGAAAATTATCTTTACTGTATAAAATGTCACAGTACTCTTTCTGCATGCCAGCATCTCGTGTGTATGTGTTTCCAGGACTGTTGTTTAAATGGCCCAGTGCAGTCTATTTTTAGCGATCTGACTTAGAGGGGACGAGAAGTGTGAAACACTTGCTTTCAGCCTCAAGCAAGCTGGTTATTTTGGAGATTTTTCTTGCTGCTGAGAGGAGTTTCATTTCCAGCTGTGAACTTCTGGCATTTTCCCGGGCGTTCCATAAACAGGGGACTAGGGTTCCTCGTCCAACAGCAATTCAGGGTGGGCTGCTATCACATCCCCCAATTCTCCTGCTCATTCACCCCGCCTGCTCATCACTGTCACACCGGTCCTCGGAAGTCGACTTTCGGTCTTGCTCTGTCTGTACCGAGGAGGCACCTGAGGTGTGAGAACGTCGGCACCCTTTTCTGGTGGGATGGGCAAAGCCCTGGGTACTGGGTTTTTGTTCTTCAAGAGAGGGAGGTGTGGTGATAGTTGCTTCAATTCCCAGAACTGAGTTTGGAGGTCAAGACACCCTGTCTGGGGTGGTTCCTATTTCCCTGTTACGATCCAAACAGAACTTTCTCCAGCCTGAGCACCTCTAACCAGCAATCCGGAAGTCTTGCCATAGTAAAGACAGCAGAGAACTCTTTATCAATGATAAATTACCAATATTTATTTTAACCACATAAGGTGACTTCCACGTTTTCTTTTTTTTAAGTCTAGAGAAAGTAGAGGGAAGGAACCAATACAATATCTAATTCAGCTGAATAGCAGAGTTGTTAGCTACTGTTTTGATCAATGAGGGCTCCTTTATATATATTATTTCAAAGTGAAAATAATAAATAAATCTTCCGTTTAGGGCTTAGTCCTCAAAACAAAGGAGAATCCTAGTCAGGACGGGGACAGCATAATTTCTGCCATGGTCCCTCCATCAACACAAACTCAAAATTCAAGATGTTGGCTATGAGCAAAAAAACATCTTTACTGTTTGGGTACCAGCTCAATTGTACAGTAATTACACTTGCTTACAGTCAGAAAAAAATACCCATTTGTGAAAATGTGCAATAGGAAATCTTCAATAAAGCAAGTTCCTATTATAACGGATCTTCACAAGGAGTAAATATTATAGTCATAATAGAACTTTTCAACTGTATGGTGGGTGCTACTCCAGACTTCCAGGCTGACTGATTCACAACCTCCAGGCATTTGTACTTGTGAAAATAAAAAGGGTCTCAGGTGATACTGATGCAGACCCCCAGCTGAGAAACAGGCTCTGTCTGTACAGGACGTACACACGGCATTCAGCTCCCATCAACAAGACACTTAACATAACTCCTACTGACATCTGTTGGCTCCTTGGAGATTACTGACAGTGTAATAAATCAAGAAAGCAACTTCTCTGGCTGTGACCACCTGGGGCTGGTGGTGGTGGAAGGGAAACAGTGCCTTGACATCTCAATGCCATTATGGAGATGTCCAGAAAGTGACTCCTTGTGAATGAACCACAAAAAGAAGTGTGGATCTGTAAACACCAAGAGTGACAAGAACCAGGTGCGGGAGTCCACTGGCATTTCCAGCTTCCCGGGCCGATGACAGACGGCTAAAGTGGCTGCCTGGAGATGGGCCCGTCACCCCTTCTTTCAGGAGTGAGAAGAGAACGTTAACCTCAATTAGCATGGGCTGGATAACTTTCCCACAACACCATGGCTGTCTGGGCAGAGGGAAATCTATTGACCGAGCTGCCCGGGTAACCCGCTGTACTCCTCCCTACTCTTCCTGCATTTTTCTTTTTTTTGGTTGCAAGGTTTACTTCCCTCTATTTTATTTTTTATTTGGCCACATTGCACGTGGGATCTCAGTTCCCCGACCAGGGATCAAACCTACACTCCCTGCACTGAAAGCTCAGAGTCTTAACCATTGGACCAGCAGGGAAATCCCCTTGCACTTTTCTTACTGGGCCATCCTTTCTTCACAGGGCTCTCTTCCGCCAGGTCGATCATCTGCCGTTTCATCACTGGAGTCCTAGAGCCAAGCCCAGGGGACATCTCTCAGGGGTCGGGCTGCAGAGGGCCCCTCCAACAGCTGCAGGTGGGGAAGTGGCGAGAGCCCGGCTCTCTGGCCCACAGTGCTAGGACAGAGCAGGGCCACAGTCACAGGGGGTGGGACTGTGCGGGCGAGGCTGCTGAGTCAGCGAGGACTGGACCAGTGGGAGCAGCCGGGGAACAGCCAGCGAAGGCAGGGAACCTTCTTCACCCCATGTGGCCTCTGCTACAGGAATCAGAGATTGCTCCAGTCCTTACTTGGCCTCTCCCATTAGGGCAGGAATTAAGACAAGGCATGGCAGCGACCCAGGAATGACCCAAACATCCCAGGAAGTTTCAAGACTGATGATCTGAGGGCCCAGGGAGCACAGGAGATGTGAGGGGTGTCCGGGGATCCGGGTTGCGGGTGGCTCACCAGCCAGGGGGAAAAGCGCCCCCTGGGCGCTCCTACAGTCTCTTTTTAATCAGTTTCTCCAGTTTGCGGATGCGCGAGGACTCCTGTTCTGGAGTTGGAGCCAGGAGGGACAGGGAGCTGGAGCCTTCCGGCCCTGAGGGCGGGGCGGGGAGCCTCTGGCGGAAGAGCTCCAGCATGCTGCTCTGCTCGCTCCGCTTCAGCCCCTGGGGTGGAGACAGAGGAGGGTGATGGCAGGTCTGGCCCCCAAGGACACAAGGGCAAGTGCAGTATCTGGTATTCACTGGGCTGAGGATTAGCATTTTCTCCAGGGGAGATATCAGCCCTGGGTAGTAGCCTGGGAGAGAAGCGGGGGAGGAAGAAAAGGCAAAAGGAGAGGAGAGAAAGGGCTGAGAGGGCGAGTGGCCAGGCAGCAGGATGTGGGAGGGCCGCCTCCTCTCCTCGCAGCCCCGCCAAGCCCAGCTCCCCGCCATCAGAAGGTGATGGAGGGCATGGTCACGGGCCCTGGTTCCCCCTCCTCAAATGGCTTCTTGCAGCCTGGGCCCAGCAGGGGCACTTTGAGGAGGCCCCCCCAGGGGCCCGTATCCCACCCCTCAGTGAATCACGGAGTGTGAGAAGGATGCACCAGGGACAGAACAAGATGCTGAGCTCACCTTCATGTCCAGGATCTTCTGGAAGGTTTCTGTGTTGCAGTCTGTCAGGAGCTTGATGTAATTGTCCACAAATACCACCAATGGCTCGTGAGGGGCCATCACAACCTGTGAGGGAGAGAGGAGAGTCAAGCCTGCCAGAAATGCTTACAATCCAAGGCAGCGGAGCATCTTCTACAGAAACGTCCTGACAGCCTGTTTCATCTCAGCATTCAGTTACAGCAATGCTTCCAGTCAAACCCGACAATCCTAAAGGAAATCAACCCTGAATATTCATTGTAGGGACTGATGCTGAGGCTCCAATACTTTGGCCACCTGATGTGAAGAGTCACTCATTGTAAAAGACCCTGATGCTGGGAAAGATTGTGGGCAGGAGAAGGGGGCAACAGAGGAGGAGACAGTTGGATGGCATCACTGACTTAATGGACATGAGTTTGAGCAAACTCAGGGAGACAGTGAAGGACAGGGAAACCTGGTGTGCTGCAGTCCATGGGGTCACAAAAAGTCAGACATGACTTAGCAACTGAATAACAACACAATGCTTCCTAAGTTTGCTAAATCAAAAATGTCACCTGAGTTGCTTTTTAAGTACAGATTACTATGTCCCTCCTCCGAAGATTCTAATTCATAGAGCCTGGGGAGGAGTCCCAGGTGTTTTTTAAAATATCAAGACCACAGGAAACACTGTGTTGGAAGGTCCCCTGTTTGGGACATTTCCTGGGTTTCTGGTACCTGCTGCTTCTGTCTTGATGTATCATTGTTCCCAAGTAAAGTGTCGCTCAGTTGTGTCTGATTCTTTGCAATGACATGGACTATAGAGTCTATGGAATTCTCCAGGCCAGAATATTGAAGTGGGTAGCCTTTCCCTTCTCCAGGGGATCTTCTCAACCCAGGGATCGAACCCAGGTCTCCCACATTGCAGGCGGATTCTTTACTAGCTGAGCAACAGGGAGGCCCTGGTTCCCAAGGGACGGCCTCAAAAAGCATCAAGTTAAGTGGATTTTCTCAAAAACAAAAAACCCACAACAGCCTCAGTGTTTCCAAGACTTAAAATCAGGAACTTCATTTAACTACATCCACTTCACACATCAGGGCTTCCCTGGTGGCTCACTGGTAAAGAATCCACCTGTCAATGCAGGTGATCCCTGGGTCGGGAAGATCCCCTGGATTAGGAAATGGCAACTCACTCCAGGATTCTTGCCTGGAGAATCCACGGACAGAGGAGCCCGGTGGGCTACAGTCCATGGGGTCACAAAAGAGTCAGACATGACTCAGTGACTAAACAACAACAACTTCATGTACCACCAGCAGGGGAGCCCTGGCATCAAAACCCTCATGTTCATAGTCATTTGGTTTTCACTGTGGGGGTCCGGTTTTCTTCCTCCAGTAGGCTGGTTTGGTTTTGGATTTCTGAGAATACAACTCAGAGTGGCAAGGAGAACTCACTCAGAAATTCTCTCCAAACCCTGCTCTCCCCCATGGAGAGTAAACCGGCCAGGGAAGAGATGGATTAGGCTGCTTTGCTTCCTCAGGTCAAAGCCCAAGGTCTGTGGAGGCCCCTCACCCGGTCCACCCATGTCAGGGCCCGCCGTGACTTCCCACTCCTCCATCATTTGAGCCATTCTGCTTGCAGACTGACCTGAAGGGCCGGGAGGCCCTGGCCTTCTAAGAGCATCCCCTGACAGCTCCATTTGTTCTCCAGCCTTCTCTCCCCTCCCTAGGAGGCTCCCTCTCCACTCGACAAGTCCAGGTGGAAATCAGATGCAGGAGCTCAAGGCTTCAGACATTCTTAGCATCATCACCCCATATATATTTTGTTAAGTGGGGCTTTAGAAAACCATTTGCTGAATTAGAATCAGTTATGCGACATTTGTTCTAAGTTCTTATAAAGTGGCAGAGCTTAGAAAGCCAAGGATGGGAGGAACTGACAGCTAGGAAGCAGAGAGAAGCAGAGCAGAGAGACCCTGACTGGAGGCTGAGTGAGTGACAATGCCACCCAGCCTCCAATCTTGGCCAAATCTTATTACAAGAGAATCCCATTATAAGAAAGAATAATTTGTGAGACAGAATTACTGACCATCCCCCTCCCCCCCGCCCGCCCCCAGCAACACTGCACTGACTTTGAATAATAGCTGATGAGGCCCAAGTCTGGTCCAGCCAAAGAAAGCAGACAATCTTTTGGGACTGATGGGAATAGTTTCAAACCTGGGCTTTTTGAGACTAGTACTCGGTACTGTTTGGAATAAGTGATGAGGTAACTAGGCGCTTTTAACTGAAACCCTACAGAAGACACGAGTCCCACCTTGAGGATCATCTCCGCACGGGTCATGCCTTTCACCACGATCTTGGTGTAACTGGCCGGGGCTTTCCTCACCACCTGAGAGCCGATGGAAGGCAGATCAAGCAGGACCATCTTCAGGGAGTGCGTGTCGAGCAGCAGCTGAGGGAAGAGGACGGAAGAGTACCAGCCACTTCACAGGGGCACACCACCTAGTGTGCTCACGCTGATAGGTAACATTTTCTTGATACTTAAACATTTTTTCAATTTATTTTAATTTTTGGCTGCACTGGGTCTTCACTTGTGTGTGTGAACTTTCTGTAGTTGCATCGAGCGGGGGACCACTCTTTGTTGCAGTGTGTGGGGTTCTCGTTGCAGTGGCTTCTCCTTCTAGCTTGAGGGCTCCAGAGCTTGGGCTCAGTAGTTATGGCACATGGCATGTGGACTCTTAGTTGCCACATGGCATGTGGAATATTCCCAGACCAGAGATCAAACCCACGTCCCCTGCATTCCATTTAGAAAGCAGTTCAGGATATGCAGGGAGAACCTTACAAATGTCTTTAAAATTTCTGCTTATTGAACAGGCAAAAAATGGTAACTCCATACTGCTCTACTTTGGATTTCTCTGGATACTAGTGAGGATGTAGGAGATTAAGCCAAATTTAAACATCAGTATCTTGGGACTTCCTGGTGGTCCAGTAGTTAAAAATCTGCCTGGACCACCAGGAAGTCCCAAGATACTGACTCCAAGATTTATAATAAAGTAATCAAGACAGTGTGGTACAGATGAAAGGATAAATAGATCATCTGTGCAGAAGAGAGAGCCCAGAAATACATTACAAATACAGTCCACACAAGTAGAGTCAACTGATCACTCACGAAGCAGCAAAGGCAATTCAATAGAGCAAAGATAGTCTTTTTAACAAATGGTGCTTGAACAACTGGGCATCCATATGCAAAAAAAAAAAAAGGAAAAGGAAAAAGGAATCTAGACATAGACCTTTCACCCTTCACGAAAACTAACCCAAAATGGATCATAGGCCTAAACATAAAACACAAAACTATAAAACTTCTGGAAGGTAGCATAAGAGAAACCCTAGATGACCCTGGGTATGGTGATAACTTTTTAGATATAACGCCAAAGACATGATCCTTTAGAAACTTACATTACCATCTGTAAAATAGACAGCCAATGGGAATTTGCTGTATGTCTCAGGAAACTCACACAGGGGCTCTAATCTATATCAACCTAGAGGGGTGGGATGGGGAGGGAGGTGGGAGGGAGGTTCAAAAGGGAGGGGATATATGTATCCCTATGGCTGATTCATGTTGAGGTTCGACAGAAAACAACAAAATTCTGTAAAGCAATTATCCTTCAATTAAAAAATAAATTAAAAAAAGACATGATCCATTAGAGAAATAAACTGGTCTTTGTTAAAATGAAAAATGTTTGCTCTCCAAAAGACAATGTCAAAGGGGTGAGAAGGTAAACCACAGATTAGGAGAAAGTATTTGCAAAAGATACATCTTGTAAAGAAAGGACTGTTATCTATCATACAAAGATTTTTAAAGAAAAACTCAGCAATAAGAAAACAATCCAACTAAAAAATGGGCCCAAGATCTTAACAGCTACCTCACCAAAGATATGTAGATAACAAGCAACAATTTGAAAAGATCTGATTCCTGAAAATCAGTAAGAAAAAGAACAGCAGCCCAGTAAAAACAATACCAACAGTGGGGCAAAGATTTGAACAGGCACCTCACAAAAATGGAGACTCAAGTGCTTATAAGGACTGTGAAATGATGTGTGTGTACTCAGGTGTGTCTGACTTTTACAACCCCATGGATTGTAGCCCGCCAGGCCCCTGATACTTAATTTTACTAGTGATCGAGTAAACACAAATCAAAGCCACAACTGTGTGTCATTTTGTACTCATCAGAAAGGCAAAAGAAAAGTAAAAAGGTCTAAATACCAAGTGTTGGCATGCATATAGTGCAATGAAACTCACACTTAGGATGAGGGTATAGACTGGTTGAAGCACTTTGGGGGAATTTCAGTACTATTTCCTAGTGGAATTTGTGCATAACCTGTGACACAGTACTCATATCCTTTAACGAAATTCTTGCCCATGTCAAAAAAGGTTCCCTGAATCCACTGTTTGTAAAAGCAAAAGATTGGAAATAACCTAAATGTCCAGCAACAGTGTAGAATGGATAAACAAACAGTGCTATATTCACGCAATGAAACATGACACTGAAATTAAAATAAGTGACTCAAACAACTTATATCAACACAGATAAATCTCAGAAATCATTATGTTGGGCAAAAAAAGCAACTGGGGAAATGTTATATATAGTACCATTTGTATAAAGTTTAAACATTTGCAAAACAAAATTATATATTGTTTGTGGATACATACACATGTAACTTATCAAAGCACATATGGGAATGATAAAATAAAAATCAGAATAGTGATTACCTCTGGGCATGGAGGGAGAGGAATGGCAGGGTAGGTCCACAGGGGACTTCAGCCATAATTATAATTTATATAAAAAAGATTTAAAGCAAATATGGGACCATGTTAAGATATGACTAAGCTAAATGGGAAGCTGATACTCTTGACATTATTTTCTATACTTTTATTAACTGGAACTATGTTTTTCCTTGTCTTCTTTCTTCATACTATGCCTTTAAATATCTGAGGCCTAGTAAGGATTCAACTTTATCTTCTATGTAGCAGAATTTCAGTGTCTTGTTAAAATCAAAGCCATGTCTTAGCATTATTTGCTAGCAGGAAAAAAAAAAATCAATGATTATTTAAAAACATATGGGGATACTTCCTGTTTTTTTCTGTACTTTCTACTTCCCAGAGAATGTTATATGCATAAATAATTGTGACAGGAAGAGTTTTGAATGAACCAGACATAACCCTCTAGTATCTCCCATATTTTGAAAGATAGGACATTCTCAATTCCTGGCCAGTCACAGTAAAATTCTCTCCTCACCAGACAGATGAACAGATAGAAACCTTGGTCTCAGGTTTTACCGGAAGTAATGCAGTCAGAAAATGTGGGAGCTAGTCCGACAGACTTAGTCTGTGGGAAATGAAGGTAAAACGGTCCATTATCATGAAAATCTGTTGGCTTTCATCTTTGAAAATAGCTAAAAGCTCATCTCCTTATGCATGAGGCACTGGGCAAGAGGTGGTTGTTGGCCAAATTCGGCTGAGCCTCAGAGAAAAATTTTGGGGGTGATATGGCGCATGTTGTTGGTGGGCTACTGGGGTGCAAAGCTGGCTAGCATGCTATGCCTGGAAGGGTCATCATCGCCCATTAATGGGAAGCTCTGATACCTCTTGGGGGACAACATGACTATCACAGTGATAGAAACCTTGAGCAGACAAAATAAAGACACACTCCCAGAAGGTAAAGGCCATATATATAACACTAAGTTCTTTAATGAGGTGATGTGGAAGAAACAGTTCAGGATATGAGGAATGGGGGGGCCAAGGTGAGGACATGCCTTGTTTCTTTCCTCTTTCCTTTTTTTTAAAATTTAAGGTATAACTTTCATACAGTAAAGTACACAAAGACCAACTACACGGCTTGATAAATTATACACATGTATATACCCTACAGGGCTTCCCTGGCGGCTCAGACAGTAAAGGATCCATCTGCGATGTGGGAGACCTGCGTTCGACCCCTGGGTCAATTCTCCAGGAAAGATCCCCTGGAGGAGGGCATGGCAACCCACTCCAGTATTCTTGCCTAAAGAATCCCCATGGACAGAGGAGCCTGGCAGGCTACAGTCCACGGGATCACAAAGAGTCGGACACGACTGAGCGAGTAAGCACAGCACAGCACATACACCCTACTGCCTAATTAAAGACATGGGACTTTCTCTGTCACCAAGTAAATGAACCAGTGCTCTATGATGACCTATAGGGGAGGGATAAGGGTAAGCTGGGGGGGGAGGTCCACAGGGATAGATGTGTGTGCATATGGCTGATCCACTTCAGCTGGCTGCACAGCAGAAATGAAGACAACACTGTAAGCTAATTATCCTCCAACCAAACAGAACAGACGAAAGGATAGAGACGTGTTCACACAACGGAATGATACTCAGCCATAAAAACAATGAAGTATTGTCACTTGCAACAACATGGATGGACATCGACATTATCACACTAAGTGAATTAAGTCAAAGACAAACATCATAATGCTATCACTTACATGTGGAATCTAAAATACAACACAAATGAGCTTATTTACAAAACAGAAACAGATTCACAGACAAAGAAAACAAACTGATGGTTACCAATGGTGTGGATAAATTAGGAGTTGGGGATTAGCAGATACACATTACTATGTATAAAAGAGATAAACAACATGGTCCTACTATATAACACAGGGAACTATATTCAATATCTTATTATAATCTAGAATGGAAAAGAAAATGAAAAAAGACTATATAATCTTCATATATGTATATGGAGATAGATATATATATATATAAAACAGAATCACTTTGCTGGACATCAGCAGCTGTACTTCCTCTATACTTCAATTAAAAAGATAAATTAAAAAGAAGACTTGGGACATTATTTGTAGCCCAGAAGGCTTCCTAGGGGTCTCTTCCAGTCAATGCTCTCTCTTCCTTCCCAACAAAGGCTACCACTCTTCTGCCCTCTGTGACTCAGGACTGGCCTGCTGCTCATTAATCTGCTATGGACATTCTTGCACGTCTTTGGTGGCCACACGCCCTCATTTCTCTGGGGGTAGCATCTCCGTAGAAGTGCCAGATCAAGGGGTAGGCATATGTTTAGCTTTAAGTAGAGACTGTCAGATAGTCTTCCAGTTTGCTTGTGCCAATTTCCAGTCCCACCAGCAATGCCTGAAAGTTCCAGTTGCTTTACATTCTCACCAACACTTGGTATTCTTGGTCTTTTTAAAATTTTAGCCATTCTGATACTGTGACTTTAATTTATATTTTCCTAGACAATTAATATGCTTACTGGTGAGCCTCTTTTTGAAGCACCTGTTCAAGTCTTTTGCCATCTTTTCTACTGGTTGATTATCTTTTTTCTAATTGATTTGTTGAGGTTTTTCTAAAGTACATTTTTCAACTTTATTGAGGAATAACTGACAAATACACTTTAACT